CCACTAATCAGTTGTAGAAACTTAATTAGGGAGAAGAAGAGCCTACTAGAATTTGCTAAAACATTTCATGCTGATTAAATTTTTTACTAAAAGTCACGAAAGAAATTTTGTAGAACTATATTTTTTTTCTTTGTGACAAGCCATTTAAGAGGACATGGCCAACATATTGGCTGATATATCGGCCATGTCAGGGACACCACTAATCAGTTGTAGAAACTTAATTAGGGAGAAGAAGAGCCTACTAGAATTTGCTAAAACATTTCATGCTGATTAAATTTTTTACTAAAAGTCACGAAAGAAATTTTGTAGAACTATATTTTTTTTCTTTGTGACAAGCCATTTAAGAGGACATGGCCAACATATTGGCTGATATATCGGCCATGTCAGGGACACATCGCCCAAATATTGTCAAAAAGCAGTAGATGATGTTATGACCATATTGTTTTGCGACAAGCCTTCTAAAAGGATATATCAGATATATTGGGGATATATAAAACAATACAAAGCGTACATCGGTTTTGTTTGTACTCACAGGTTCAAGGACTGTGCTGCACCTTTTCGGGGTTTTGCACCAAACTGAAGCTAACAAACATATGATGTTAATACATTGTTGATCAATTAAAAACTGGTTCATAATCCTTTATTGGGCTTGCATGTTTAATCCCTCGGAAAAAAAATTATATAAACCTAAATAACAAGATATTATTCAATTTCCATATCATGGAGAATCAGTGACTTTTTTGTTGGCAAAACTGTATGCATCAGCGCTATCGCATCCAATTTCCACACTAACAATTCTGCAGCACAGGTGTATAATCGTCATGTGTGCGTGTTACGTGTCTTTATTGCACTTGATCATCAACGCAACATAAAATTCTCTTTCCAAAGTTGCCTCTTGCAAGAGAATAGGCGAGCATCTAATCATCTAAGCTAAGTACCCGTTTTTGGTTAATATGACTCATCAGGCAGTATGGAACTTCAGTTTACATAATAATGTGTAGTATATGAGCTAATATGTAAGTATTTTAGTTGGTATCAGCATCCATGAAATTGACCACCAAGTGAAAACACTAGTATTGCATTGGAATGGCTCCATTGGCACTGGAATTCAACCAAAGAAAGCTGTGAAGCCCCAGTCTCAAGTTGACATACCGTTATGAGTTGTTGGAATGTGGTACATATCAAGGATTGGCACGCACCAAACAAATAGGAATTTTTTCATACTTCATGCTTTAGCACAAGGAGATCAGGTATTGACACATACCCGTTGAAATTAGCATGGAATGATCATATCTTATACCAGACTCCAGAATCAAAGTTGTCCTTCTAAAATGTATATGCCTTCCATATAATGATTATGTGCTCTGAGGGAATCAATCTGCTGACTGTCAAGCATTCAAGAATTAATTGAGCCCCTCCAACCTAAAGTACCTTAAGGTATAGTCCATTGGGCCCCACTGCAATTTCATATTGCTTGGTGGACTGAGTTGATCAGGAATCTTGTGACTTGTGACTTGTATTAGAAAGATGGCGCTAATAAACATCCCACCACTTCTTCACCAAGATCAACCACTAATTACAAATGTAATTTCACATTCAACCTGCAGGTTTTGTGGAAAAAGAAAATATACAACATTCTTCAAAATTACTACAAATAAATTGAGGACCACTTAGATGAAAATCTTACTCAATGTAGTTCTCACCAGTTTAAAGCCTATAATCCTTCAAACATTCAGGATCTTAACCATGTAAAATATTTTCTAATCCCTCCTTCCATCATAACTGATACCATAGAAAAGACTTCCAGCCTTTTCATACAATAATCACTTGTACACTTAAGAAGGCAAGTTACTATTGACATTTCTCGAATGATGTAGAAGTTCTTTGTTAGCCATATGAAACAAAACAAGCATAAAACCTAGATTTGCACCCTTGCAGTGCTCTTGTCAAAGAAATAAAATTTGTACAATCAAAAGGATGGACAGTTTGGCACATCTTAAAACAGTCTAAAAACTTGATCGTCCACTAGTCATTTTCTCTAATAGGCTCACTTCAATGCCAATTGAAAAACCATAGGACTATGCAGATAACAGAATTTGTGACAGTCTTTCCAGAACCCAACATGAAGTCAACAGATTTTTAATCTAATACATTCAAGTTTTTTATTTGTAACAGAGGCCACAGCACGGTCTAGGACTTTGAAACCCAATCCCCGCTGCACTAATGGGGCAGGCCTCACTAGCTAATACAATCGCGTTTGAGTAATAAATGGTTTGCTTCCTCCAACTTAATTAGCAAACATGTAGGGCTCAAGCCTAGAACCTCAACCTTCAAACCATACCATTTAGAATGCTTAGGTCTTAGTGAGAATTACGAGCATAATATAATGAAAAAATGCATAATGTCTCATTCTCACAAAAACCTCTATTCAAGACAAGTGCTATGTTTTCAGGTAAGTTTTTAAATATTGATTCATACTTCAAATCAGAAATAAAGCCAATGAAGATATCCACGCTAAATAGGCGAGAATATAAATGAAATTAGGATAAATACCTTGACTTTGTCTGGCCTTACTATTAGGCCATGTTGTGGAGGGCAATCAAAATATCGTTTACCTTTCACCCTGTAAATATAAACAAGTCAAGGTACAAAAAAATCAAATCAGGAAAGGAAAATGAAAAAAATATATAGTAATTATGATTTAACTAGCATCATCATAATAGTTATATCTTTTTCAAGTCTAAGAGATTTAGGTGTTCGATAACTTAGAGAAACTATAAAGAAATTTAGTCTAAATCAAATAAAGGCAAAAAAAGAGGAAATGCAGAACATTGCTTGTGTAAAGTAAGAAATAAAACACTTGAATAAAAGATATCAAGCGTTAGCAGACCCTAGATACTAGAAAAAACAGAGATTGGCTTAGAAGAACCAGGCATTAGCTCATTACATACTGCTTGCTGACAAAGGAAATCGACAATATTGGGTTAGATGAGTAGGTCGTAAGAAGAGTTTTTAATAATCTTGGAATTATCAATTTATGTACTGGACACGGCGTTTTGGATGCCGTGTACGTGTCCGACACGTGATGGACACGGATTCTCCACGGGCACGCCATGGACACGTGTGGTTAAAAGAAAAACCTATTTTCATTTTACTTATACCCTAATCTAGTTTCTTTAGTAATATTGGGTTCAAAACCAATCGTTTTTTGAACTCGAAAACCGAAACCCGTTACTTACATGTTTGAAAAATTCAATCGTATTATCCATGTGATCAGAACGTAAACTTTTGTTTTAAACCTTTATTCTTAGTATGATTTAACTTGATTCTTAATTATTATCTAAAAGACGCATATGTATGTATGTATGTATGCATGCATGCATGTATGCATGCATGCATGCATGTATGCATGCATGCATGCATGTATGTATGTACACATACATACATGTGCATGCATGCATGCATGCATACATACACATACATACATGTGCATGTATATACACATACATACATGTGCATGCATGCACATACATACATGTGCATACATGCATGCATACATACACATACATACATGTGCATGTATATACACATACATACATACATGCACACGTACGTACATACATGCACACGTACGTACGTACGTACATACGTACATACCTGCACACGTACATACATACATACATGCACACGTACGTACATACATACATGCACACGTACGTACATACACACGTACACACGTACGTACATACACACGTACACACATACACACATACATACATACACACACACACACACACAATGTCCCTATATCCTACATTTTATAAATTTGTTGTGTCCCATGTCCGTAACCGTGTCCTTGTCCACGTCTGCACCGTGCTACCTAGACTGTTGTGTTCCTTTAATCATGTTAATCTTATAAATCTACATTATAGATAGATGTGACATACAAATAGAAAGTTATTATTGTCATATGCACAATGTATTAATATCCAAAAAATTTGAAATTTATCATATCTATACACCTTTATTGTACCATATCCCCCATCATACTAGTGCAACCTCGAACAATAGTGTGCAAGAACTTGTGTAGCAATGCATTATTCAACTTTGTCTCAAGTTCACAATCAAGATTGATTGTATACTCCTCTGCTTGATAGCATCATTTTATATTTGCTGATAGTTTGAGCAGATGGTTTTACCACCTCCTTCTCAAAGCATAATACCCCAAAATTGAAATTTCTGCAAGATTTTTTCCCCAAGGTATTAAAATATCTCCATTTTGATATGACAACAAATGAGGTCCAAAGATAAACCTTCAGAGAAGTACACACAAAGATAATACTAAGTGAATTAACTTCAATTGACAAGTGTTCCACAATCACATGCATGCTTGCAGAAATTTCTTAACCCACTTCTATTAGAGAATAAAATTCAATCACTCAAGAGTTTTCTTTAATCATATTATGATGCAGCAACATAGTAATAAATAAATGACATATAAGCCTAATAAATTTAGCTTACTAATAAAAACTGGATAGTTGGAGACTGTGTAGAAGCTAAGCATGCAGTAGCTACTCCAACACAATATGAAATATCCATTGCAGTCTGCAGATGATCATCTATCTAGAATGACCTTATTTTACAAAGGAAGAAGGATGACTTAATAAATGGAACCAACTTGCAAAAACATAATGTGAGGGTAGCTATCAGAATTGGAGGGTCAGCATTATTCTCTGGAGGAGGAAAACACATACATGCCATCATGCTTCCCCAGAGGTTCATCTAATTGAATTCCAACCCAACATCCTGGTGCTAGAGTCTCAGCTCTACCAACAAACTTGACTACTCCCCTTTTCTCCCCAGGTTCAACTTCACATCTGTCTCCTACCTACATGGAAAGAAGAAAATGTAAACAACTATTCTTATTGAAAGAAAACTAGCACATAGCATTAATCTGCACCGAGAAAAATCCAGAGAAAATCAAACTTACCTTAATCTTTTCACACAGGTCTTCCATATAGTTGTCGCATAGCTACAAAAAAAATTAGCATAAGGCAACATAAATCTAAGAGAAATTGTAATCAAAGACCTAGATTTTGGAAAGGGTAAAACAAAGCATATTGAAGCAGAAATACATCATAGAGAACAAAAAATTGCCTACTTAATATAGTTTTGTGCATGTGCACGTGTATCTTAATTAATAACATATTAAGAAAAGCCTCCTTTGGCTTGTGGCTCACATTTTTTAAATTATGAAAATGCCCTCAACATTTGGAGAAACTATGGAAATACCCTCAAACTTAAATTAACTGAAATACACCCACACTTGGAAAATTTTAATGAAAATACCCGTACACTTCGAAAAACCTATGGAAATGTTCTCCACTTAGAAAAATCAACCGAACTACCCTCTGCTGAAACAATTTTGACCCCACACCCTCACACTTGGAAAAATCCAATAAATTATCTGTTTATGTTTCATGCACACATTGCATGCACTGGGATACTAGTTTTAATTAATAATAGTAGATATTCAAACTATAATCTGCGGTTTAAATTGCTCGATTTAGTTAATTATCTAAAAGTTACAATATGATATGTCCATGTACTTATGCTCAAGAATTCTCAAATGAGAAAGCAAACAAACCAGATGTGCTTACTTTATTTTCATTTCCAGCTGCATTTTGAGCATTCATTTTCTCTTTGAATTTTCTAACATTACCTGAAAAATATAGAAAACAAAGGAAATGAGTCATTCCAGTGCTTTGCAGTGTTTAACCAAGAAAAAATACCATCAAATAATGTTTCTACATATAAATTGATATTCTTAAAAAAATCATAGTTGGAGGCAGTCAATCGTGAAATACATTTTACTGTAATTTGATTGCATTTATTACTGCAACAATCTCACTAATATTCATGTATGGCCAACATTTCCAGATATTATTTATGCAGAATTTGCACCAACTTAAAATCAAAGTTGATGATAAATTGACAATTTTTTGGAGCTTGGGTGTAGTTATGCACTGAGGCTTGCTCAACAGTAATAGATGGTATTAGGTTGTAAGCAATCCCAGGTCCAAGTTCAGGTATAGCTTTCAACTATAGCTTTTGCTCCAAAAAAACTTCAAGTTTCAAAATTTTTTGAACAGTATTTTCTGCTTTGGTTTGATTATGTTTCAGCATTAAAAATTATTTAGAGAAGTGACTTATTACAATCTAGTACAGTTCAACATGAGTACAATTTCTCTTCCACCTCTTTCTCTTGCAAGTTATGGGACATAAAAATGCATTAACCTGACAGTGCACGAGCACAAGTATGTTTGATGTTGCTCAGTTACTTGCATTTCTTGACCCCTATTAAAGATATAAAAGTTATTTAGAGAAGGGACTTTCTTAGATTTCCCCTCTCCGCCCTCTTGTCTCATGTACTTTGCGGGACAAGAATTTGCATAAAACCTGATAGTGTAGGAGCAAAAGTGTTGCATGCTTGCTTACCTACACTTCTCAATTCCTCTTGAAGCCAATTTTTCAAATCAAATCTCTGATCACAATTTGGTGCGACAAACACGAGCCACATTTTGAGCTCAATGTACTTGTAGATCTGGTACAAGGCCAGGTGAAACACCAAAACCATCCAGAACGTTACAAATAACACCAATATCAGTGCTATAACCATTCAAGAGGATAGAGAGGAAGTAAGAGCAACAAAGAAGTGGAAGGCATGTAGAAACTCCGGATTGCTCTTGCTCTCGGACCCATAAGGTTTAAAATTGGATCATGTTACATTCTAATGCTGATTAGTTGTTCAAGACTGTGTACTGAATTTTCTAGTTGTTTTCAGCTTGATCTCATATCTTATTCTCTAGCGGAACCTCGTAAAGAAATGCAGAAGACAAATAACCACATTAACCGTTCTGGCTATGAATAGTTTTCCTTCTCAATAATCTCCTCATAATTTCTACATGTGTCTCACTTATTCTATGTCCTCTATTAGATTAACCAGTATGTAGATTCTATAACTTTATCCTGACACAGTTTCTGCACTTCTTCTTAGTCACTTGCATATGTAGATTCAATATACATCAGCCAAATTTTTCTCAAATCTTCCATGGAGTTCTCTTCTTATTGACAAAATAATACACAAGTTAAAGTACTTCCTTTAT